ACTTAAAATACTATGACTGTAATTATTTAGGTACATTTGTATTATGTTGATATAATTGCTCTTATTGAAAAATTAAGAAAGCAGATATTTATCGTCATAATAGTTTTCGTATAACTAGAGTTTAAACATAATAATAAACTTAACAACTGACAACATTTGTTGTCAAACTTATAACTTTATAAGCAACTGTCAACTAATGAGTACAGAATATAATTCACTTACAATAAAGATGAGCTCAATTAGTCATGATGGTGAGCGTCATTCTATTGGATTAAATAAATAATATTCATCGTAATAAATCACGAGCATCTATATGTCACCCTAAATTAATTGTTCAAGACAACTTTTTTGATTACATACTACTAAGGACTTAAGACAAAAAATTCACAATTTGATATGTAAGTCGTGTTTGCACCAAACAAAATCAGTTTTAACTGGTAACTTTTTATGATTTCTCTGGCCTGTTTTTGAATAGTTCTTCAACTATATGTTCGTCAGCTAATGTTGATATGTCACCTACTTCCCTGTCATTGATCGCTACTTTTCGTAAAACTCTTCTCATTATTTTTCCAGACCGAGTTTTTGGAAGACCTGGTGCATGTTGAATAACGTCYGGCATAGCRAAAGGCCCAATYGATTCCCTTACTAAAGCATTATTTTATTTGCTTAGATAATTAATTAAACATCGACCAAGTRGTTTAACTCCTRAATACTTATATGTAAAATTTACCTTTTTTAATTAACTCRGATGAAAGTTTTGGTGTAAAAGTCACACCATGGTTTGGAGTAACAAAACAATAAAGACACTCTCCTTTGACTGGATGTGGTCTTGATACAACTGCAGCTTCKGAAACATCTGGGTGTTCAGTGAGTACAGATTCCACTTCAGCAGTGCTCATCAAGTGCCCAGATACATTTAACATATCATCAACTCTTCCAGTCACCCAAAAGTATCCATCTTCATCTCTTCTCGCACCTATCATGAAATGTCAATTATTCTTCAGTAWATTATGAACTCTGGGATCTCAATAATAATTTTAACTTACCATCTCCTGTACAATAATATCCTGGAAATTTGCTGAAGTAAACTGATTGGAACCGTTCATGATTTCCAAATAATGTGCGCATCATACCAGGCCAAGGCTTATTGAATACTAAGTATCCTTCACCAACTCCTTCAATTTCTTTACCACTTTCATCCAATAGGATTGGTTTAACACCAAAGAATGGAAATGACTATAAATAYGAACRAGTTACTGGGTAGATGTTTAAAACGGTCTTATATAGACATATAGTTGTATAGTAAAACACTTACTGCCGATCCTGGTTTCATTGGTGTGCAACCTGGGAGTGGAGTTATTACATGCCCTCCAGTTTCAGTTTGCCAAAATGTGTCGGCTATGGAACATCTTTCTTGCCCAATATTTTGGTAATACCATAACCAAGCTTCCGGGTTTATTGGTTCACCTACTGAACCTAACACTTTTAGTGAATCGAGGTTATGTCTAAACACAAAATCAAGTTAGTAATTGAAGCAACAAAGTTACTAAATAAAGTATGTACTTCTTCACTGGTTCTTCTCCAAACTTCATTAATGCACGAATGGCTGTCGGTGCAGTGTAAAACTGTGTAACTTTATATTTTTCAACAATTGACCAGTATCTYCCATTATCTGGATAAAATGGTGTTCCTTCAAACTAAAGTTTAAAAAACATTAATAGGAAGGTACTAGGTATATGCAATTATATTGTACCTATTTATTTCATGTTCTCAAATCAATTTTCATTTGACTAAGTTTTACTTTCAGAATAATAGTAATTTTTTTCTAATATCAACCCGTTGTATAATTAAATAAAACAAAACTTACTATCACTGAAGTTGCCCCATTTGCTAAAGGTCCATAAACAACATAAGAGTGGCCAGTGATCCAACCAATATCTGCTGTGCACCAATAAACATCCCCTGGATGGTAATCGAATACATACTTAAAAGTAGTAGCAGCGTATAATAAGTATCCACCAGTCGTATGAAGTACTCCTTTTGGTTTTCCAGTTGAACCACTAATAATAATAATTAATAATAGAGTGTAGGTATTTTAAAATTCAGAYAAATCACCAAATATTTAAAATAAATGACTATAAATCATAAATTCACAATAGTACCTAGGTAATTAACTATTATAGTTAGACCAAACTTAAATATTTTAA